AGAGACAATCTCACTGACCTAGAAGGTTCTCCAGTTCCCTTTGGCAGTAGGAGTCAGAATTAGATATGTTGATGCTAAATGGCTTAGCATTGACAGCAAAACAGCTTAACTACCCTGTCCCAGAAGGTTAAACTATGATGACCCTCTTAAAAAACTCTCAGTGCAATGGACAAACACTAGGCTCTGTGGAACAAGTTTGGGGATCAGTCTTCCCCTCTGCTTGGTGTGTGGCTATATAGCAGCAGAAAACATCAAACCACATGAGAATATTTCTAAATATTACTTTTGGAGTGTGAAGAAATAAAATGATCAGATTTAGATGTAAAGAATAACCCGAGGGAATTACACGAGACATACACCTGCGAGTAGGATATTTTACCATGATAAAGATTTATACTTAAACAATCCTTTCCTCTTTAAGGAAGTTAAACTCAGCAGCTTTGGACTTGGCTTTGCAAGTTCACACATGTTGACAAGCTGTTATGTTTGCCCTACACGTCACCTGGATCCATGTGTGCTTGGGGACAGTCTGCTGCAACGGCAGCTCAGGGGTGTGCTATGTAGATTCTACATAGCTGGCACTGATCTGCAGCAATAATGACATTGTAAGTGCCAATGATCACAACAGCAGCGGCATTGTAGATGAATGCTTCCAATATGCAGATACCACTTTGCTCACCACAATTCCCTGTGAAATTCTCCAGTTTTAAAGCACTCCAGCACAGTTTATACAATGGTCAGGGATCAAAAGCAAGACGAAGAACAGAAACTCTAAGAAAGTAATTCCTCCACTAAACCCAGTGTTTCTCACCAGGCAAGAAATGACTGGTCAACAGAAATAATTTGCTAAGTTGCTTCAGAGAAGCACATCTCTAGTAAGAAAAAAACCACACCCCCCCAACAAAAAAAAACCATAGAAAGGTATCTTATGGTTAAAAATATTTATCTTCTTTGACTATTTTCCAAGCCCTTTTAAAGATAAGCCCCAGACGTGTAATCCAGGGCATGACATTTGAAGTTTTGTCCTTGAAACCTTTTTTCTTTGCCCTATTCCTCCCTGTCAGGAGGCACATCAAGTAATGGCTCTGCAACGCATTACAGTGTTCTAGAGCTGCATCCAGCAGTTGAGCTTGGGGGCCAATATATTCCACCTTCCTTCAAGGCCACTTTCAACCACCACAGTGTGGTAATACCTGGAGGTTTTGCCAGCAGGGCTGAGCATCCATCTCAGCAGCTGCACTAGAAGAAGTTTCCTTAAGAAAGTAATTTTCTGCAGAACATTCTACCAGAAAGTTCTCCAAACAGGTCTAAAACTGCTCTGCTCACTGCAGGAACCCTGGATGTTCCAAATGTGGGTTCCTGAGAGGCCAAGTAAAACTGCATGCCTTGCACAGTGAACCTCCAAAGCCCTTCTAAACTCCTACTTCCAAGCCATAATTGTTGCTGTATTTTGCCTGGGAACAGAATCTGAAATTGCCATTTTCCCTCTAGTTCTAAAAAAGCAATTTGGTATGTGGCATGATTGACTTGGCTCTACCCTCTAAATGTTTCACTGACAATAACTGTCAGCCCACTGAAAACCAGCAGATGCACCCCTTGTCTAAGTGGTGGAGATAAGGACTGAATAGCTACAGCCTCACCCCATGATCCAAGAGCCTTCCTGCACCAGCCAGTGCTAATACCCCTGATGTCCCTGGTCACCTGTAAAGCAAACCTCTGAAATAGTTGCCTTTGCTTCAAGCACCCATTTAAAGACTGTTGTGCTTTGCTTCTACTGAAGCTCCCTATCAGCCTTGCTGAGGAGAGGGTAGAAGATAATCTGTCCCACAACTCACTGTGATGCATTTGACAACGGCAATGCGAAGTGCTGACTCCAGTAAAACCACACTGAACCGAGATGGATCTCTCACCCCGAGTCTGAACCAGAAGAGCAGCCTCAGCTTTTCTGCTTTCAGCTGGAAACTGATATACACAGGGTAGAAAGTCTTTGCTGCACTTTCCTGTCACTCATCTGTCAAAAGCAGAGCTTGGGGACAGTGGGGCACAATGTAAGGAACATTGAATTAAGCTTCATTCTCTGGATTCATATTGAAGTTGTCTCTTGTCATGCGTGTTTCTAAGTTTTATAAAAAGCAGGTAGTTGTTATGGCAATTAGCACTTGGCAGCTTTAAAATTGTTTTTTTTTCCTGTTACTTCAGACTAGGCTACAAGATGATAGCAAAAAAGGAGATGAATCTTTAAGGCAAATGATTTTGTTACATTAAAACACAAGAATAAACATATCAAGCAACTTTTCTGTGTAATTTGTGAACTCGAGTGGAAAAGCACGCTTGGGTCTTACTCATCACAACTAGCAGTTTCTATACTACAGCTAACAGGTAACACCCATTTTACTAAGGGTGGGGTTGGCAAAAGAAATTTTCAATTTTATCCACCAGATTAATGTGAGGCCTTTGGATACAGCTCAAAGGCTACAGCAATTGTTTACAATAGTTCTCACTTTCCACAGGTTCCTTACAGGAGTTTTGATGTTCCTTAACACCACATCAGTAGCAAGCAATTTCCCCTTTTGGAAAGGTACCTTGAGTAACCATTTTCAGAATGGCTGGGATTCGATACCTTCCAGCAACTTTTAACTGCACCTTGGAATAAAATATAGCTACTTACCATAAAAAATCCCAGGAGAGAGTTGGGAATAGACGCTAAATCTTGACTTCCAATACATTTTCTTACCCATAGGGCTGTCCTTCCTTCCCGCCTCTGTTCAGAATCTGAAGTGTCAGCCTGCCAGGATCTTGCCAAGATGTTCATTACTGGAAACAAGGAAGCACACCAAGTCACACAATGCACAGGCAGCTTACCAACACAGCATGTTGCCAGCCTACCCACCTGCCTTCCAAAAGGACTGGAGGCAAAAGGCAAGATGAGCAAGGGGCAGATGCTAACTGGGCTGTCAGACTGCTGGTAGCACTCTGGAAGCTCCCCTCCAGGAGCACAAGGCTGCAGGGGAGTGCTAGGCTGTCCTCAGCACACAGGCGGCTCAAGCACCCCCAGCCTCTATCACTGTTTGGGCTGTTCAGCCTGTGCTGCCTTGTCCAGTCTGTGAGCAGGATGCAGGTCCCACAGAAGCAGCATTCTGTATCACATATGGGTGCAGAACTAATACTGCACTAAAAGCTGCAAGAATTCAAGGCCCCCAAAAGGCTTTTCTGCTTGACAAAGCAAGAGGCTGTGCTGCGGAACAGGACATGCCCTCTGTGCAACACACCACCATGTTTTGGAAGGGTCTTCAATGTCAGAACAAAGACTACAAGCATGTTTTCATGTCTTCTTAACAAGACAAGGCTAATCACTCAATACAGGAAGGTGTTGTCATAATCAAATACTGTATATCACTCTAGTGAAGGAACAGAGGAATGAAGACTCGGAGGTGAATTTAAAAGAACAGCTTAGGTGCTGAAATAAGAGAGCTTTCTTAAGCAAAAAACACCGCACCAAAAAAATCTTATTTAAAGATACCTTCATATTTTGCCTTTAAAAGCAAAAGAGTAAAATACCTTTTCTGCTGTATTCCACTAGTCCTCATTTGATTATCTGGTTTTTAATTTTCAGTTCTACCTTGATTTTACCAGGCACATGGAGTAATTTTTCAGAACCCTGTTACCTCACAACTTTCTTAAAGTTTCAAAAACAAAAGAAAAAGGTTATTTTCAGGTCATGTTATTTCATGTAGCTTAAACTGAAATGTTTAAAGCACTTTACCATGCAAGTTGAAAGTCATTGCAGTATACCTGCAGTAAGGGAAGCAGGGAACATCTTCATTAAAGCCCAAGAGAGAACTCACGTCTGCTGTAGAGTGAGTGATGGTCTTTCCCTTCTAAAAGTAGATCCAATATCCCCAAAGGAATTTTTAGTCACGGTCTGCCAAGCTGCATCGCCTCCAGACTGGAATGCAGCCCTTTGTTTTGTAAATGTATTTCATGACTGCTTTTTCCTTTTGACAAGTGCTTTCATGTATTAAAAAAGTCATTATTGCTTTTTTCTCCAGTAGTAATTGAAGGATATCAAAGTTCTCCATTAGAAAGTCTCATTAACCTTTGCCCTCCATATTCTTCCCTGCTTCCTGTTCTCGATCAGATCCTAACTTTTATCACCTATTATAACAGATTATTAAATTCTGGGAATAGTGACCAGGGTCCCTAACTACTTTTCTAAAGGATTAAGATTATCCTACCCACCTTTTCTACCATCTTGATCCTTAAAATCCAGGACAAAGGGCTCAGCAGCTTCTAGAAATGGAGCACCACATTCCGAATGCAATGATGTATTTTAACAGTTTTGGTCAGCTTCCCTCATGTCGAGTACATAAACACAATTCAGTTATCTTCCAATTATCTCAGTTCTTGAAAGAGAAAAGTGATGCTGTTTGAAAATCAGTCTCAATTTACTTGTAATTATTTCAGTTTCAACCCGAATGTCTACAAATGCCATAGTTATGTGAATACCATCAGTGCAGACCTTGCTGGGGACAAGAAAAGGAAGAGCACCATTGCTCTGGGGAGCCTTCCCACGAACTGAGCTGTAATACCTGAGCTGTGTGGAGGCTCCTGTTCAGTTCTCCTTTGAGGAGTCAACAGCACCAGGTTATGGGTTTCCATAAAACCCGGCCTAGCCCAAAGGTCAGCTCTTTAAGAACTTTGTATGCCTTTTGCTGTAAGTCTGGAGACCATATGTTTGTTAAGGTATCTATCTCTAGAGGTCCAGCTGAACAGTCAGAAAGCTGTAGGAATCTTGAAAACTAATTGCAAACTAATTAATTACAACAATCTTAAAGTCAGATATGAAGTATTCAGTCTTAGCTTCCCTGAAATTAACTAAATGCCTAGATGTGCATTAAGATTTTCCATAACGAAAATACTTCCACACTAGATCTGTGTATACTGCTGCCATGACTCCAGAAGGTCTGGGAAGACAGATGACATGAATTCTACACCAAAGGTAGTTGAAAAGTCCATTCATAAAACTTTTATTCCACTTACATCAACTTAATACACATGTTCTGAACAGTTATGTTTGAATTGTTCATGAAAATTTCATAAGACATTAAACAAAGCTAGCCATCATCTCAAGTTATTTCCCTGTTAACTATTTTTACAGCACATGCATGTTAGGCAAGTATCAAAAAAAAAAAAATCACAAAAGCAAAAAACCTAAAAAAGTTAAATACATGGGTTTTTGTTGTACTGCTGTGCTCGATATACAGTGTCATTATGGATATCAAGCAATTCATTTTTTACTGCATCTTTACTTGTACATTTGTTCTTAGGTTGCTTAAACCATTTAAATACAAATAAAATGTGTAGCAAAAATAATGAAAGCAACAGCAGGTAACTTTACAAATAATGGAATGTGAACCGTTTCTCTGTCCTTCTCTAGAGAAAGTTGACTGGGTTATCAAACTGTCTTAAGGAACACTTCAGCTGCAATCAGAGATGTACACTTGATTGGTATATTCCACAGATTTCACATGTTGACTTGACATGCATTATCTATGGGACATCAGTTGATTCACAGCCATGTGTGCTCCAGCTTGAATACATACTAACAACACCTGTGGCTGCAACTGATTATCCCTTTTTTTCCATCGTGACAGACCAATATGCAAGCACTCATTTTTGCTTGACATAGAAAGCTGTTTTAACACTGGCCTTGTGGGAAGCCACAATGTACCAAAAGTACTATGCCAAACATGTAAAACTTGTATAAAAATGTCACAACCCTATATTGGCCACCTCAGATGAAAACAGATAAATTCCCCAAATGTTAACTGGCTCTATTCCCCTAATATTAAACAAAACCACATGGGAAATATAGAAATCCAAATAGAAGTAACATAAACCTGTCAAATCGTAAACAAAAACTATTTGTGGGACAGCATGGATGACAAATGGTCTACTGTGTAAATTTCAGAATGAGGCAGACGGAAGTTGGAAGGCTGGTTAATTCTCCCCTCCTTCTCCTGCTTCGGCTTCATCTCCTTGGGTATCCGATGTCCACAACTGTTTGAGAAAGAGAGTAGAGTAAAATACGTAAGCTACTAACATCAGTGACTAATATTTAATAAGGAATTATTAGAAAGAAAGCCTAGTTCTTAAACAGTAATTTTATAAGAGGTCCTACTCAGCACACATTAACACGAGTATAATTGTTGGCTATTACAAAATGGAAATCTAGCCCTAGATGACGCAGCCCTTTACTTGTAATGAGGAAAGTTCATGAACAGTCAAACCCGAAGTTTCACATCCACAAGGCTCACTAGAATACAATATAAGCAGGCAAGAATCAGACCTACAGACCAGACACGTGAGAATTGGGAACTAACAATTCTTGGTTTCCTGTGGATATGTACCTTCTCCTCAAGCCAGCTTTGTGCATCCTTCTGAGGGAAGAGCTTCAGTAAAGCTCTGTCTTCACATCCAGCATTATCCTTTTCTTCAGAATAGGCATCTTAAGTTTTTCGTTTTCTTTTTAAAACCAAAAGCATTTCACCTAAATCTCTATCCCTTGGCTCTATTCAGTCATTCATGCCCCTCTAGCAACTTTTGAAATACAGAGCTTCCAAACTTAGAGGGCAGGGCAAGGAGGGAAGAAAATCAGGCTAAAGATGCAGTATGCACAAAATCTCATTTTCAGCTCCATAAAATCATACTAAGGAGCCATACATCAAGATTAAGTACCAACTAAGGAAACTAAGCAGCAGTTCCAGACCAACCCCCAGGGCAAAGAAATCGTTTTGTGAACCAGGTATTTTGCCACAGTGGATGATTCCCAACTATTACCAGCCCAGTATGATTTGTAATCTTCATAGACTTCCAGCAGCATTAACCGAATCCTTCACGCTCTATAGCATAAGGTGGTAAAGCCTAGGAATAATTTTCTCTTTGACTATGGCTCAGTACCTCTATGGTCTCACCAAATGCTTTTAAAAAACCCTCCATCATCAGAAACATTTTATCCTTTCCACAAGTATAAGACAACAGAGAAATCTGTGTTCAGCTCTGGGGCCCCCAACAAAAAAAAGGATGTGGACCTGTTGGATTGCGTCTAGAGGAGGCCACGAAGATGACCAGAGTGCTGGAGCACCTCTGCTATGGAGACAGGCTGAGGGAGCTGGGCTTGTTCAGCCTGGAGAAGAGAAGGCTCCAGGGAGACCTTAGAGCAGCTTCCAGTACCTAAAGGGAGCTACAAGAAATCTGGAGAGGGACCTTTTACAACGGCATTTAGGGACAGGACAAGGGGGAATGGCTTTGAAGTGAAAGTAGGCAGATTTAGATTAGATGTTACAAAGTTCTTCTCTGTGAGGGTGGTGAGACATGGGAACAGGGTGCCCAGAGAAGCTGTGGCTGCCCCATCCCTGGCAGTGTTCAAGGCCAGGGTGGACACAGGGGCTTTGAGCAACCTGGTCTAGTGGAAGGTGTCACTGCCCATGGCAGGGGGGTGGAACTGGATGACCTTTCAGGTCTCTTCCAACCCAAACCATTCTATGATTCTATGAAGACCAGTAACCTTGCTCTTGCTCTGAACATCATACACGGTATCTGTGCTCAACATTCCTTGCTGAAGACACTAAGCACAAGTTATTTTACTGGAGACAACAGTATATGGGAGACAACAGCCAGTTTCTAGCCCCTGCACTACATTCTATACTACGTTATTATAATACCACATTAGTCTCAATTTCAGTGCTACTTTTATAAGGAACAATTAGTAAGAACAACTTTATCAGAGGCTTCTATCCTAAATCCTCACCTCTAGAATAGAGACTCATAGAATCATTTAGGTTGGAAAGACCTTCAAGATCGTCAAGTCCAACCATTACCCCAGCACTGTCAAGTCCATCACTAAACCATGTCCCTAAGTGCACATCTTTCAAATACCTCCAGAGATAGTGACTCCACCACTTCCCTGGGCAGCCTGTGCCAATACCTGACAACCCTTCTGGTGAGGAAGTTTTTCCCAATACTCAATCTAAACACACACATACCTCTCTTCATTAAATAAAAAGGGCTTGACTGCTATGAGGAGGATTACCAATTGAGAGCACAGTTTAACAAATCTGCTGGGAAAAAACAAGGCCCTCAGAGGGAAGGGATGTCTTTTTATTAAAGAAAACAAAAGAATTTCGTAACAGAGCAAAGCAGGAATTATCTAGCAATCCCAGTAGAACAGATTTAGACTTGGTATGTTAAACAACCCTTTGAACACTTCTCTGCCTCCAGTCCTGCTGAGCATGAACACACTCAGCTTCTTCAGTCATTCAAGACAACATACAAAGAATCAACAACTGAGGAAACCTGCTCCTGCACATACTGATCAATATGCTGAATCACTGTCAAAAGTCTACCTCACAGATTGTAACAGACTTGCATAACTAGCAAAACAGACCCTTTTTTACATTTATGGAATTCACTGCAGTCTTTGTCGGCCACACATACATCAAAAGTTATTTTCTATCTCAAGTGGAGGCCTTAGAGCAGCCTTCTAGTACCTAAAAGGGGCCTACAAGAAATCTGGAGAGGGACTTTTTACAATGGCATTTAGGGATAGGACAAGGCGGAATGGCTTTAAGATTAAAGAAGGTAGATTTAGATTAGATACTAGGAAAAAAAAAATCCACTTTATGAGGTTGGTGAGACATTGGCACAGGTTGCCCAGAGAAGCTGTGGCTGCCCATCCCTGGCAGTGTTCAAGGGATTTGGAACTGGATGATCTTTAAGGTCCCTTCCAATCCAAAGCATTCTATGACCATTCTAAATAGCTGTGGAAAAACATGGAATCAATGCATTTGTACAGGTCATGACAGGCATTTAAGGAAAGACATATCATTCATTCAAGAATATGGAATCCTGCAGCTGTCTACAGCTTTCTCCCTTATAATAGAAAGCTCACATCAATTATCAGGCCTACTACTGTAATTCACACACTACGGTAGCTCAGTCCAACTTCTGCTCTTGTATGAAACAATTTGCTTTTCAACTCACATGACAAGCTTTACATTATCTTTACTGGGAAGCTAGCAATTAAAGTCAGCCTCTATTCTCTATTTCAATACCACTTATTCAGAGGACAGCTCTTGAGCAATCTCACTCAAGGGGACAGTACACACAGACACTTAGAGCAATGCCAACCCTGTATCTGTCTCCAGTAAAGAGCTTGAGAAATCTCTTCCATTTGTTTTGTAAGCAACAGCTGGAACAATCACAAGTAGTTTTTTCAGTAGTGTTAAGTTGCTATTCTAGTGGAAAAGGTTCCAAGGAACAGGGAAATAAAGTGTTAGAAACAAAACCAGAAAATACAGCAACTCCAATGTTATGCAGCTGTAAAACTTCACTTCTGGTTCTGTTAAAAGTCCAGATATTTCGTAAAGGTCTCCGATATCAGACTACAGGGGCTACATCTGGTGACAAGAGACACTTCTTATTGTTTCAGTTCTTGCTTGCAGCTCTTCCCACTATGAAGACCGAGGAGTGAACTATGCCATTAATTACACTATTGCATGTTTGCTTACTTCATTGTTTCATTTGCTTTAGATGTTTGTCTTTGCCAGTTCTAAAGTTCAAAGTAGGTTAACCACCACCCCCATCCTACCCAAGATGAAGACTGCGATTAACTTTGACAGAGCAACAAATCTTGATCCACAACTTATAGCACAAACAACTGTGAGACCAAGGGTAAAAAGGAATTAAGATGGTTGTTTTACAACTGCTACAGAAATAGCCTGGCTAGTGCTGATTCCAACTGCAGCTTTACCAATGTTATAGCCAAAACAAAAAACTAAACCAACCAACAGGTCCTTAAATGGACTTGCTAGCTTTGTTTGCAGCTTTAATGGAGGATCTATTCCTTGCACACAAAATCACACACAGTAAGCTACATGAAATTTGACATTAGTTTTGAAGAGGCAAACGTGACTGTATTCTCAAATCCTGTAATAGTTTTGCTAGTCACAGTCCAAACTATGTCACTTAAATTCCTTGAAGAAAAAAAACCCTGAAAAAATTGGTCAATTTGTCATCTGTCAGAAAACTGTGTTAATTAGTGTGTTGACAAAAAAAGACCAGGCAGGAGAAAAACATGCAGCTCAGAAACATGAGGTACCATCAACTCATCTGTAAGTAAATGACAGACACAGCTCCACAGCCAAGAACGAACTCTGAGAGCCCCAAAGACCAATCTTGTTACCAACAACATGTAAACTTTAATGATACTCACTGTCAAGTTGTCTCTCAGTAACTGCATTATTAGCGTGCTGTCTTTGTATGACTCTTCACTTAATGTATCAAGTTCAGCAATTGCTTCATCAAAAGCCTAGTGTTATAAAAACAAACAACTCCATTGGCCATGTGACAAAGGGTTATGCCAGTAACTGAAAGGGAATTTTTGCCTGCCTCAGACTTACCGTTTTTGCAAGAGAGCAGGCTTTCTCCGGGGAATTGAGAATCTCATAATAAAACACGGAGAAGTTCAGAGCCAGACCTAATCTGATAGGATGTGTTGGCTGCATCTCCTTTTTACTGATTTCAAAAGCTTCTTGATACGCTTGTTGTGATTGCTCCACTATCCCTTTGGGGGAAAAAAAACACACACACACACACACAAAAACCGTAAGTAATTCACATATTGTACTCAGACATACAATCAGGCCTTGTGTTCACACTTGCATGAACAAAGTATGTTAAGAGCGAACATCTGTGAATGAGCGTTTTACCAAAGAAGTCACTATTTTATAAAGATTTTACTAAATTAATTTTTAAACTATATATATATAT